CCCCAAAACCCCAAAACCCCAAAACCCCAAAACCCCAATATTTGGCAAATATATAATAATAAACTCAACTCATAACAATGGAAAAAGATTTGAATGCTACTAATAAAGCACATTTTGACGAAATCAAAGACCTATATGATAAAGCAGACTGGCTCGCACTCATGGAATACTGTACTGAAAACGAACCTTCAGATTTGATCAGAGATGACACCAAGTTTCAGAACCTCCTTATCAGAATAATGGAAACTCTTTTGAAAAATAGTCTAGGCAACGATACTCAGGATTGATACAAGTATATACTATCTCTCCTTCTGTGAAGTCTCTCATTAGAAAAAGAACGAAGTAGAAGAATTATTGGCAACCTTTTCCTTGATGCTTGCGGGTCAAGCCAGCTAGAGCTTATCAAAGAGTTCTTCACTGACCACGAAACTGAATTAATAAATATCAAATTTTGTGACCCTGATGGAAGAAGCTGATTTCACTATGCAGCTGATGGGAATGGTGACAATTACGATGTCATTGAGTTCATCCTCCATAGTTTCGCTCATAAAGATAATTATTTCGTCACTAAAGGGCTGCTGTATTTTCTTAGCAAGAAGAGTTTGATAAATAGCAAACCTAACTCTATCAAAGAGTTCTTCAAGAAAATTGAATATCTGGATCTCTCCCAGAAAGATGTTTCAGGTATGGCTCTTTTATAAGTTTTAGGCAATAGCGCTCTTCATCTTATCATGCTCAATTGAGAAGATGCTGAGATATGGAAAGAAACTATTTTACAGATAATTGAGAGGAACCCAAGCTTGTACTGAATGAAAAATAATGAAGGAAAATCACCTAAATTTATTGACAGCGAGAAATCTCTAGGAATATCAGAAATGATTGATGAGAATTCAAAAAGTAAGAATGAGTCCAAACCCGCAAAATCTCAAAAGACAAAGTAACAATTCTCTAAAGACTGCTTCCTTATCAAAGAAGGACGATCCATCTCGAGAAGAATTATCTCCAGGTGAAGAGGCTAAATCTCCATCTAAAGGAGGAGAGAAAAAGACTAAGAATAAAGACAGAAAATCTAAGAAAGATAAACCCAATTCGAAAGAGTCTTCAGGAAGTAAACAGAAAGCTCATAATCCGAACCAGTCAGCCAAGAATGTGCAAAAAGAAGTTAAAGAGAAATCCCAGAAGGACCAGAAAGGCAAGAAAGAAAAGGCTGCTCAAAATAAGCAGAACCCTCAAATAGAGGTAAATTTTCATAATAATTTTAAAAGTCAAAAAGCTCTCAATCAAAGAAGAAAGACCATATTTTCAAGTTTAATAGAGTAATACTACATCTTGATCTGTAGGAAGCCAATGAAGAAAGTTTCCCACCTCTTGTAAGCCAAAGTAATATGAAGAATCCAGACAGAGAGCTAAAGGTGGAGGATACTGTGGAAGTACCTGGTCCCATGAAAGAAAATTTAAATAAACCTCCCTCTCCAAACGTTAAACTTGAAGAGACACAAAAGGAGAACAGTAAGCTTACAAGTGGGAATCTTTCTAAAAATGATAGAAACTGATCATCAGAATCTTGTACACAATGAGATGATGAACCAATATCAAAATTATCCGCAATACCAAATGTTCAATCAAAATAGTATGCCATCCTCTTTAGTAAATTCAATTTTGGATTCATACTAAATACTTGTATAGATCCAGCTGGGATGATACCTGCAAATGTAAATCCTCAAAATATGGGAATGATGAATCTCTACCCAGCTATGGCCCAGAACCAAATGCAGCCAATGCCAGTTCAAAATCTTCAGCCTCAAATGTTGAATGCTCAGCCAAATGAGAATGCTGTCCAGAAAAATCAGAAGGAGCATAATTCTGTAGACCAGATGAATTCTCATGGACAAAGTCTTCCTACTCAACAGCCCTCTAAAAGTACTGAAAAGGATAACACTGCTGCCTCTCAATCTTTGCAGAACAACCTTGGACGAGGAGATCGTACTACAGGTTCTAAAAAGCCAGAGAGCCAACATTCAGTGCCTACTTACAAAGTTGATCTTTCAACTAAAAAGAAAATAACTCAATTCAAAGATGAAAGGCTTGATAAAGCCTATGATAGGCTATCTCCATTTTTAAATAAGCAAGATAAAGATGACCTAAAATTTTCAGTTAAAGGGCTCAGAAGGTTAACCTTAAAGAGAGCAAAACACAGAAAGGAACAAAAAGAAGAAGAATGAAAAATATACTTTCGGAGACATCACCGTGTTTCTCTAAAGCAATCTGTTAATATGTTTAAGGAGATTTCAGAGTTTTTGAAAGCCAACCCTGAAGCTGATATTAAGAATAATGAAAGCTTACTAGAACACTTAAAGAGCACTGTCAATGATGTCCTATTTAAAAAGAACCCAGATGAGCCACATAATATAGAAGAGAATGTGAAACAAGATGGTTTTGAACAAACGTTTCATTATGAGAATCCACAAATGTATATGAACAGTAAGTAACATATTGTTTGTAATATCATACCTTATAGATTACCCTTATAATCAAGAGTTCTCACAGATGAATCAGATTATTCCAAATTTTAGGGAAGATGTCGACCAATTCCTAAAATCTGTATTGCAAAAGAAGCATGATATGTACAAATCAAGGGAAAATATTATCCAAAAAGTCAAACTACTTGTCGAAGAAGTCCCTAATATTGAAAGTATTGAGATTTATGGGTCCTTCAAGACCAATCTTGATCTTCCTTGGAGTGATATCGATTTTGTTGCCTTTTCAGATCTCTTTGATGGCTCTAGATGATTAGATGAACTGCATACCCGGTTACAAGATGAAGTAGAAAAAGATAGCTGGATAACTAAAATAGATTACATCTCTTCAGCTTCTGTTCCTATCATCAAACTGAATACCATCGATAATGATTTCGAAATCAAGGTTGATATATAACTTTTGGGGATCAGGATCATAAAGGAAGCCAATGAGTTCAATTAGTGAAGGATTATCTCTCATTTTATCCAATTCTTGGCTATATTGTCATGATTATCAAGCAGATTCTCAAGATAAACTCCCTCAATGATCCTTACAGTGGAGGAATAAGTTCTTATGGAATCACTCTGATGATAGTCGCTTTCCTTCAATTCCAGAAATTACACTGAATAGGACCTTATGGCCAATTAGGATATTATGAAACTTATAGAATGAACCATAATGACCTGGGTTGTACTGTATTCCAGTTCTTACATTTCTACGGCTACTTCTTCGATTTTCAAAAATGGGATATTAGACCTCAACTAGAGGAAGGAGGAATGATAGGATTGGGCTGAGAACCCATAGTCGATAACCAATGGCCTGATGAGAAACTTAATATTTTCGACCCATTGAATGCTTCTAATAATGTGGGAAAGTCCTCTTTTAAAATTGAAGAGATCAAGGAATGATTCAAAGAATGAGCGGATATTATAAGCCCCATCTTATTCTCTTACCAACAATTTGAGATGAATGGCTTTTATTACCATGATGTGGTCATAGAAAGCAAATATAACGAATGGAAGACAAGACTCTTTGATTTTTAGAAATCTCTGCTGATATCTAACATTCTGAATTAAAATTACAATATTTTAAATATAATAAGGGGTTTTGGGGTTTTGGGGTTTTGGGGTTTTGGGG